AAAAAGTTAAACAGAATTAAGCACAGTCCTCAGTTAAGCCAGGCACAGGGCAAGTGCCTGACTGCCACTGGTGGCTGGTGGCCTCCCCAGGGCAGGGCCCAGGGTTGGACACCACCCTTAGCAAGAAGCTCACCCATGAACGTGGTGGATGGAGCTGGCTGCTGGCCCTGGGGCTCTCTGCCTTTTATTATTCTATGTGGTATATATCTGAAGAGGTCCATCATGAAAAATTTTTAATTAAAATATACTTTAGCCAGGTGTGGGGTGCACACCTATAATCCCAGTTATGCCGGAGGCTGAGCCAGGAGGATGGCAAATTTGAGGCCAGCCTCAGCAACTCAGCAAGGCCCTGTCTCAAATTTAAAAACGGGACTGGGGTGGGGGTGAATCTCAGTGATGGAGCAGCTGCTGGGGCTTAATTCTCAGCACATAAATAAATAAAAGAAACTTTGCTACCTAACATACTACGTGTGGTTGTTTACTGTCACTCCTACCAAAACGTCAAGGAGAGGCTGTTGCCTGTTAAGTTCCCTGCATAGCAGTGGCACACAGTAGGGCCATAATAAATACTTATGGAATGAAAGTGTGAGCTCATGGGGGAGTTCAACAAAACCGTTCATTTATTTAAAGAGCAGCCTGGTGAAAATGCATTCACTAAGCACCTACTGTGTGTCTGGCACGGGGAAGAGCTACGGACATCTTGAAGAGCTAACGCAGACCTAGTCCTTGGCTTTGGCAGCGTAGTCAGTAGTTGTGTACTGAGGATGGCTCTGGACAACCACTGCCTCGCCACCCTCCTGTACCCAGAAGCTTTTGCAAAGCAACGGGGCGGGGCAAGCTGCTTGCGTGCAGAGCTGCCACCCAGCACTGCCAGCGCATGGGGGCGGGGGCTGCTGTGCAAGACTGGCCCTCGACGGCCTGCTCCTGCAGGCATGGCCACATGACTTGAAATGAAATGCAGCATCCCTTGAGAGCAGAAGCTTTAAGAGTTATCCCATGGTTCTGCTGACTCCCAGGACAGAACCACTTTCTCCCAGGACAAGAGTGGACATGTGGGCAGAGGAGGTCTACCCGCAGCAGGCAGGCACACAGGTGAGCCAAGCCTTTGCCAAGATAAGTCTCGGAGAGCCGGTGCTCACCTGTGGTCCAACCTCGATCTGCGTAAGCCCAGGCACAGGGCACATGGGGCACCTGGGCACGTGGGGCCTCGTACTAACAATGTGCCCAACACTCCACTGTGAGGGAGGCATGGGGCTGACTCACACTTTATGGAAAACAGACTCAGACGGGGTCAGGACACTGGCTCCAAATCATACCGTGGGGCCAGAATTTGAACTCAGACCCTGTGATTCAGAAAACCTCATCCTTCACCACTACACTATAAAAAGCAGCTGGGCCAGGCCTGAAAACCACAGGCAGCCTGAGAGCAGCAGTGACGCAACAATGACAAAGTGTCCTTCCAGAAAACCGTGTGAATTCCTCCTCCACTTGTAATGCCATCGGAGTTCTGCGCTGTCATCAAGAGCTGTGCGGGAGCCAGGCAGCCTCGTAGGATAGGGAGCTACAGGCCCCGTCAGCTCTAGAACCCGGCTCCCTGTCACTTCCCAGTAGGAATTTTAGTACCTCTCCCATTCCCTGAAGGAAAAAGAGCAAAAGCCTGAGAAACTATGTCACTTGGTGTCACTTGGTGTCACTTGTGGCGTGGCGTCTACCTGCTCCTCTCCCCACCTCCCCCTTGCATGTTCGCAGAGCCCCACTGCTCGGGGGAACACACTTGCCAACTCCAAGATGTAAACAAAGCCTGCTCTGAGCCAGGCCTTTCCCAACTACGGGTCACGCCTTGGTAGGTTGTGAAATCAAATGAGCAGGCTGTGATCCAGAGTGTCTTCCACCAACAGCGTGCAGTCAAACCCACCAAGAGAAGAGAACACTCCAGTGCTCTCGCACGGGAAGGCCTGGTGTTTGGGGAACTTTAGATCACGTGCCTCTCAAACATACTGTGAGCTGTGGTCACACAGCCTGCAGGGAGCTGGACTAAGCCGGCACTCCAACCTCCTTCCCCAGGTATCCACGCTCCCGCCTGCCTTGCAGCTGGAGTAGCCACAGAACCACAAATAACGACACCAGGCGTACAGGCCTGGCGTCTTCTTTGTGAGAAGGACGGGGGACTCTGGCCGACTTGGACCGTGCTTCTTCCAGAATGCAAATCAGAGCTTTTCTGGAAGGAAGCTTTTTGCTCGCTGCTTAGAGTTCTCGGCAGAGCTGAGGAAAGTGGAGCTGTGGCAAC